GACACCCAGATGACTTAAATCATTAAACAGGATTAGGCCCATTAACACAAGCCCAGTTACAAGATAAGTTAAACATAAGAATGGGCTAATAAGAACTCTTATCAGCCGAACATAACTCTAACATTCTAACAGACTAGTCAGCCTTGTTACATCCAAACCATAAGAGCATATTCATACCTTTCTCTCTAACATGAACTTGTAGTGTATCGAGTGTAATAATCCCATCTGTCAAGGGGAGTAATTCAAGCTTGACAGTAGCAGTGGACTGAGCAGGAACACATCTGAAACAATAAAACATAATTTTCAATGCTTTCTAACAATAACAACAAACACTAACAACCAAAATAAGTAGAAGATATTACCCAAGAGGAAGTGTACTCTGAAGCCAAAGATGTGTGCAACCCAATCCATTACTTGGAATGACATCAGATACAGAAGCAGTCTCCTCATGAGAAGGAACAGACATTCCTCCACCACTAGAATTCTCCTTTTGATTATCGGGAATAGAACTAGAAAAAGAACTAGAACTTAACCTGTGCACACCAGTACCACGTCCCTCACCACTCACTCTTCCTGCAAACTCAGAAAAACCAACAAATGGACTCATTGGTGTTGATGGTACAGAATTCAGAGAGACCACTGTAGGGGGTGAAGTAAACGATGCTGGAGCAAGAACTGTTAGGGTTAGATCCTCTGATGTTAAATTTGAGGCCTGAAGAGTTAAAACCTGAAAATTTTGGAAGCATACCACCATTTAAATTTCAAATTCAAGGTTAACCAAAAGCATATGCTGAAATGCTGAACAAGACAGGCATTAAACCTGAACTGGAAGCTCAGAAGTTCTTCCATTGGACCCAGAAGTTTGTTGTGACATTTCAGAAGCAACAGAAATCATGAGATCCTTTGCAACACGAGGTTTCCAACTTGTAGGCTTCTTGAAAAATAGCCTCGACTCTAAGGAGAAAACAATGAACACCAAGCATAAGATAAGAATCAAGGAACTAATAATCCACATCTTGAAGTATTTCAGGTACAAAGGGATTGTGATAAGATAGATACCAGTGTAGTTGCATCTACATGATACTAAAACTGCATACTTATCAGCAGTTAAAGAAACCCTCTTTCCTTCACCAAGCCTCGAGGGCAGATGAATACTTGGTGCTGTCCTTCCAGCCTGTAAATGTGATAGTTGAGAATTTTTTTCACCATAACCCTTAAGATTTGACCACACTGAGTTTACTGGTTTGAGAATAAAAGAGTATTCTTCACCTTTCCTGCCATAAGATAAACAATAAAATAAAAAATAAAAATCAAAGTTCAACTGGAATAAGAAGAGCGAATATCATCATCCTTTGCAAAATATGACACTATAAGGCTAGAATTAATAGATTCCTTTTTGCTAATACCCATTTCTATGAAATTTAACAAGCTATATACTAATATCCATTTGCAAATGGGCTAACAGATTTAGCTTTTTAAACTTTCATCTTTCTACAAGTCTTGAGAGTATGTTTTGTTTATATTTATAGCGTTTGTGTTTCAAACCCTAATATGTCCCATGCTCATCTTCAGATCATAGTAGAGAAGTTGAAAATGTCTAACACTAACATGCCAACTAGAGGTGGAATGTTGAGAATATGTTTGCAATATGGTCGACCTACGGTGTCCATGTCCCAAGCCATAAGATTTCTTCTGTTAATTGTTAAACATAGGTATTTCTATCTTTTTACGATAGATATGGCACTGAAAAGAATGGAATGACAAAACAGGATTCATTTATCCGACTCCATATAGTTGGGACAAGGCTTAGACAATGATGATGATGATGATGATGATGATGTTGATGACATACTTCTGTTGTTGTATCACTAAGACTCTTTTAACAATTTAAAAGAATAAAAGTTGAGGAAGTCAAGAATCCCCCTTGACATTTTTTCTTATACCTTTCCGGTTGCATCACTTTTACAATAAATCAATAATAGACAATATCTATTAATAAAGAAAATAAAATTTCAAGAACTCTTTTCCTTCCATCTTTTTTTTTATTTTTTTGAAATATGGAAATAGAAATTGTATTAAGACGAGAGGGAGATATTCCCTCCCAAGAAAAGTACAAAGAGAGCCAATATAAGAACTATCAAGAGCTAATTACAAAAGTATCATTCCCAATGATCCTATCCCAACATGAGAAGATACTTAGAGAACCAGGGATATAGCAGCCTCTCCAACTTGCCAATCATTGATTCCATAGGTGAATTTTTGCCATTAAAATTCATATCATTATGTTAAGTCCAGACGGCCCAGCAAACTGCAACTGGGACTAACTTCCACAAAATGGATCCCCTCTTACAAGAATAGAGAGCCATGCTGGGAAGAGGCTACTTGGGTCACTAGGAAGCATAAAGAACAACCCTAACAACTGGAAAAAATGCCATCAAATGCTGCAAGTCAAAGAACAGTAGATCTGTAAGTGGGAGACAGATTCTTCCCCTTGACAATAGAGACTACATGGGTTAACTAGCATCATGCCTTTTTCCTGCAGGTGATTGATAGTTAGGGTCCTCTCCATAATAGTTGTCCACACAGACAAAAAAAAAAGAAAAAGAAAGGATTTTGAAGGAGATATAGACTTCCATATCCTTTTCCATGCCACTGCTGCTGAGCCATTAGACCTATTCAATTTAGAGAAGAAAGATCTGACTGAGATTGTTTACCCTTTAGAGCCATTTTCTTCCTCTTTTTTCTTTTCCTTTTATTTGGGGAAGGTTTTACGGAAGGTTGACAAATAAATGTAAGCTTTTATGGCTATTGAGAAAGATGGTTTCTTCAATCAAACAAGCATACACCAGAAGAGTTTTTGAGATAGTAACTTTCCTCTTAGGCATAATTAAAATTAATAATCCTGCTTTCTGGGAAAGCTCCTTTTAAATAGTTTAATTATGAAGCTTGAACCCATCCTTTAGAAAAGGGTAGCACTAAGCACAAGTTGGTAAAACTTCAAACTGAAAGTACAGTCATAAGTTGCCATAAAGAACAAAATTCACTATTTTGTCCATAAATCCAAATAACAACTTCTAAGTGCAACCACAAATTCTATGGTCTGAATAGGAAGAGGAATTATTTGGCATAGTTTAGGTGTACATGTGCACCATGATTAGAAAGAAAGTAAAAAGGAAGAGATAAAATGTACTCTGCAAACATATAAACATTCTTCCTTTAAACATACATGGATAAAAATAGCAGTAACCAAATTGCAAGTATAATATGCAATTTTTTAACAGCCCAAAACTATATACAACACACATGCCAGGGATACCAACCTGAGGGCAATATTTGGCAAGCTGTAGTCATTTCCAGCTTCAATGCATGCAATTGGTAATGAATGAGGCGGTTCACTTTTTGGAGCCTCCTCAAAAACAATTGATATAGCATCCACAAATATCACAATATCTGGTGTATTTGCAGGACAAATATTCTGGAAAAAAAATGTTTAATTTTGTTGTAATAAAAGAAAGAAACTGGCAACACACACTTATATAGAAATAGAAATATTTTGGGTCAACATTATATTGATTTTTTTGAAAATCACAACTAGTACCTTTATCTGAACACAGAGGAGATCCTCTGTATTACAGTCAACAGTGAAAGAATGGATTTCTACTGGTTGAATAATTTCAAGTTTTCTTCTCCACCTCCTTCCTGGTATGTAGATGCCTTCCAGTCCACAATGAACAGAAAATCTTTCTGGTTCAAGCGATACACCTCTAAAGGATAAACGCTCTTCACTTCCAGTTTCTTGACTCTTCAGAGACTTCTGAGGCAGAAAACGATCCCAGTCTTCCAGCTCAAAGTTTGGTTTAGAATTGGAGGTTGTAACTTCAGGAAGGGGTGGTGAAGTATTTGGAGGAAGAGAAGACATTGAGTAACTTCTCAAGTTACCAAACGAGAAGAGTTGGGAACCAGATGAACCAGGAAATGTGGACTTCTGAGATGTTGAACTTGCATTCAAAGAAGCAGGAGATAGCAGACGAGCTGGAGGAGAAAGACTGCGATCCAGAGGAAGCAACCATTTGAGAAGTTCCCCACATGGATCATCCTGATTTGCATACATAAAGTTGTTGACCTTCCCAGAAGCTAAACTTCTTTCCTGATATTTCTCAAATTGAAGCACATCAAGTATGGGATCTTTTGAAAAATTAACTCCAACATTGACTCCTAAAAGCACCTGTATTCTTCCAAACAAGGAGACAGGATGAGAATCAGTAACGATACTGGTAAATGGTTTTTCAACCACAGCAAGTTAGGAATATAAGTTCAACTGACAAATGAAACAATTTTGAGTGCAAAGACACAATCATGTAATTCTTTTGCTGATGGGCTAGCTAAACAAGGGGTGGACAGGGATGTCATGTTCTGGGCAAAGATGTGATTTACTTTTCTTCTTTTTCTGTTCACTCTTTCTCTCTTGTTTCCTCTTTTGGGGCTCTTGATGTAGCTGGAAGATGAGAAAGTGTCTTCTTCTCTGTAATTATTGTGATAATTAATGAATTAATGAATTGTATTATTGATCAAAAAAAAAAAGACACAATCATGTAATTGTATCAACATGGAAATCTTAAATGCCAAACTAGTTTGCAATAAATTCAAATTTTGTTTTATAGAATAACTTAAGAAAAGGTGAATTCTACATGGTTGACACTGGTATACCCTTGGATCTGCCCTGGTTTTTCTCCAAGAAAAACTTTGCAGAGAAGTTCTAAGAAGAATGAAAAAAGTTAGTAATTCAAAATCCCAAAGAGGGGGATTATCAGAAAATATATTAATGTAAAAAGGGTAGCCCAAAGGTTCCCACCAAACTTGTATCCATTTAAGGCTTCCCAATGTCCGCCTAGAGCATTCATCTCGCATCTAATGCACACACAGACACAGACACAGACACAGCAGAGAGAGAGAGAGAGAGAAGAGGTATTTACTATATGTATCTGCCTGCATGGAAAATTTATAGAACTTACATTTTGTTAATTCTTTACTTCTCTTTCTTGCATTGGCTACTATATCTGCATGGGTGTTCATACACATATTTGCATGTCTATGCATGGGATGAGTGAGATTGTGCTCCTATGAGAATTTAAATTCTGAATTCCATTTAATTTAATTATTATAATGGGGATATTGGAATCCTAAATGGTTATCAAATGGTGGTCTTAACCTCTTAGGTGATATTTCTCTAGAAATTCAAAAGATGTAATACTTCTACTGAGTGCAACTATTAGGCATATAACAAGAATGCAATAGTTGAATGGCCAAGTTTAATTGCCATCTTACAGAATCTTGCAAATCTCAAAAAAGGGCCATTACCCAAAGTTGATCCTAGCTATCTGGGGTCTTGGGAGGGGCAAACTGATATGGTCCTAACCTTTGGCTTTTTATTATTATTTTTGTTTTGGCACAAAGTGAGAATCTTGCAAATCTGTCCCTAACAAATTCAAAAATTGTAATACTTCTAATGAATGCAACTAATAGACGTATTACAAGGACATAATAGCTGAATGGTCAAGTTTAATTGCTATCTTATAATCTGTCCCTAGGAAAACTATCATAGGACCAGTGGAAGGTTTGGAACAGATAAATCTAAAGAGACTCCTTTAGCCCAAAGTCATAATAGCTTACACCAGTATTTTCATATACTCTAGTGTATACTAGTGTATGTCTACCAATTTTGAAATTTGAAGAATTTGGATTGTACTTTGGTAATGCAAATCACTCTATGATGCAGGTTTTGTCTAGGTCATTGTATCCTGGAACCTTGATTTTGTTGATACCACTGTTGCAACTTTGATATTATCAAAAACAAATTTATTGAAGAAAGTTACTAACATAATTTGCCTCATATTGAAGCCTTTTTATCTTTGATTTCCTTCAAACTCTTCTTGGATTGGGGCAGAAATACAAAAGGCAGATGCAAAAGGATCCCAAAATCCACTACTTTCTGCATTCCATTGTTTGACTTTGAAAGCTGACTCACATAGAATACCGAAGTAGCAGGTATTTTGCCACATTTTCCAAGACTTCTATGAATAATGAAATAACCATTGGGGTGCTAATCATTGCATTATCCACCAGTCACAGATTCTGTGCCATGGACAGTGAGATTGGAAAACTTATTAAAGATCAAGCAAAGCAAAAGACTAACTTCCCCTACAACCATGGAAGTTTCAAAACATACCACTATATCCCCATTAGAAAGGGCGCAGCACTTGACAGTATTTCTAGCTACTCCACCAGATACGCTTGCATCAAAGTTTCCTCTATCAATAACTGCATTGAGTTGAGTACCCTTCCTTGAAAATTTTCTGTTCCCTCCATTAATTGTAGTCAATTTTTCCCTAGCCATCTCAGATGATTCTGAAGATGGCCCTCCTGATACACTTCTTCTTGACCAAAGCGGCTCATCTGATTCCGCTATTCTAACAAAAAAATGGGAATGTTTAAATCTTTCCAAAAGTGCCTGGGTCCGTCTTCTATGACTTTCTATTCTGAGAAGAGATTCGCTTGCAGAAATATCCCCACTTGGATCAATCTTCTCCGTAGTTAATGGGGTGTCACTATTATGCTCTACCTTCTGACTAGCAGGACTTATTTCCCCTCCTTCAGTAATGGAACTGGATTCAGTTTCCATACTAGCGTTTTGCTGCTTAGTCTTTTGTAAGCCATTTTTATTCATCATTGCAGCAACCTTGAATGGAGTTATAAACTCCTTATCTTGATTAGAAGTTGACAGACATGCCAAAATGTGAACCTGTTCACCTGGTTGTGAAAATAGAGTTCAGACTGAAGTTATAATGCAACAGAAAAGGGAACTCCCAGATGGTCGTGTCAAAGCTAAAAATCCAAAAACATTATATTCAAAAACAATAAAACTACCGGGAAAAACAAAGGAGCGGTCCAAGGCGCGAAGTGTGAGTATATCTGGTGCATCATTCCAATCATCAGGAAGTTCCTCTGCAAGTGTACATCACGAATTAGAAACACCAGAAAATGAACGCCAAATTGCTTATTTACAATTTATTCAAGTCGGTGGCATTTAGAGATTATTAAATTCATGCTTGGGAAATTTAGGACAACATTCACTAAGAAATCAAAATAACTAAAAATATAAGTCACGCATCAGATATGATTCTAAAAGAATCATACCATGACAAAATATTATAGATGGACGAGAAAAAAATTAATTGGGAGATAAGAGTTCCTCTCTAATAAAGCCAACTATCTGTCATTACCATCCAATTATAAACTGATGTCTACAAAACATTCCACCAAAAATACAATTTTACCCGTTTAAGCTACATGTGTGAATTAACGCTCAGATCAATCTATTGGGGTAAATTTCTAGAATATCACGGAACCACGAAACAAATGTGATTGGTTATAAGGCAATTTGAACATTGCAGAGATGGATATCGCAAAACATGAACAGAGGAAGCAAAACATGAATAAAAATTAAGAGCAACAAAAACCCAGAAAATTTGTGAGGCGAATTTATACTATATGGAACAGTAATCTATCCTTCGTCTTCTGTTGTAACAACGGAATGATTCTCAACGATGGGAAGATGATGCTTGGCGCTTTGCCCTTCAACACCAGTACTTCCACGTCCATCTATGCTTGAGGGGAATTTGGAAGGGGATCTTAAAAAATAAGGCACTCCAAAGTTATTGCTTGTTTTGACGTAGAATTCTGGTGCGAAGCGGGTACAACAACAGAAGGGTGATCGACGACTACAACATGTGCAGTTTGAAGTAGAAAATTCATTGTACCTCTCGAATGAGAGTTAAAGGAGAATCATATAAAATTTAACGAGGAAGCTATTAATAAAACCAGGTTGTTATTAATAATAACTATTAAGTATAATTTAGTTTTTAAGTTTACTATTTATTTATCAAAAATTAAATAAAAAAACTAATATGGGTTTGTATCTTTCTAATTTCTAATGTAACCTATTATATTTGAAAATCATTATTAATTTATATTTTTAATTTGATTTAAGATATTAAATGAAATCTTATTTGTAAACAATAACCCACTTTACTTGATATTTATTATTTATCTAATAAATCTACTTTGAGTTATTTATTTTTAAAAGTTAAACTAAGTTGCTTCCTAAAAGTTAAATCAAGTCTATAATTAATAAAGTATTTTCTTTTTTAAAAAAATATTTAAAAATAAACTTGGGTTTATGGTAATCTTTTAGTAGATCCCACCATTTGTATTTAATAGATAATGGATACGTATGTGTTAAGCTAATAAATATCTGTATTGAGATTGCTTATGAGTGAAACTATCCACTTTTTGAATCCTATTTCTTCAACTAATAGGATGCCATGTGTTTAAATAGTGGTAGTGGATTGTGGGTCTTAACAGCAACTTTTCAGAAAATGTCACATGTCTAGCTTTCTAGAAAAATGAGAATGCCACATATCTAAATGGTGGCAGACTGTAGCCCGATAGTGGGATATGGGCTTTAGCAAGAATTTATCAAAAATTGCCACGTATCTAGAAAATAAGAATGCCACTTGTCTGAATGGTGGTAGTGGGTTGTGGGCTTTAATAGCAACTTCTTAAAAAATGCCACTTGTCTATATTTCTAGAAAAATGAGAATGCCATGTGTTTGAATGGTGGGGGTTGTAGCCTGAAGACCTTCTTTTAACACACACACACGCACACACACACACATATATATACATATATATATAACTATTACTAATAATAATAGTTATAACTAATAGCTAATAACCAAAAAACCAAGTCACGCTTTATATATGATTCAGAGAATTAAAAGAATCATAACGTGACAAAATATTAAATGGGTAAGAAAAAAAATTAATTGGGGCTTAAGAGTTCCACTCTAATAAAACCAATTGGTTGTCATTACCATCCAAGTATGAACTGATGTCTAGAAAACGTTCCCCCAAAGATATAATTTTTACCCGTTTAAGCTACATGTATGAATTAACACTCAAGGCAAATTTCTAGAATATCATGAAAGCACCACTTAGACAAATGTGATTGCTTATAATGCAATTTGAAGATTGTAGAGATGGATATTGCAATACATGAATAAAAATTAATAGCAACAAAAACCCAAAAAAGTAGTGATGCAAATTTAAACTATATGGAATATTAATACATCATTCGTCTTTTGTAACATTGGAATGATTCTCAGCAATAGAAAATTCATTTTAGCTCTCGAATGAGAATTAATAAGAGAATCATATAAAATTTAACGAGGAAACTATTAATAAAACCAAATTATAACTATTAATAGTTATCTTAAAAATATTGTGGAAACTATTCACTATTAATAACTAATTAATAGTAATTATAACTATTAACTAGTTATTATTAATAGTAATAAATATTAATTAACTATTAATAATTGTTCTAATTATTAAAAGTTAATAACCGAAGAAAACAAGTCATGCATCATATATGATTCAGAGAATTAAAAGAATCATACCATGGCAAAACATTAGATGGGCAAGAAAAAAATTAATTGGGGTTTAAGAGCTCCTCTCTAATAAAATCAACTTCTTGTCATTACCATCCAATTATGAACTAATGTCTAGAAAATGTTTCACTAAAGAAACAATTTTTGTCTATTTAAGCAACATGTATGAATTAACACTCAAATGGATCTATCAGAACAAATTTCTAGAATATCACGGAAGCGCCACTTAGACAAATATGGCTAGCTATAAGGTAATTTGAAGATTGTAGAGATGGATATCGTAGAACATGAACAGAGGAAACACAACATTAATAAAAATTAAGAGCAACAAAAAACTAGAAAAGGTGTGGGGTGAATTCATACTATATGGAACAATAATCCATCCTTCGTCTTCTGTAACATCAGAATGATTCTCAACAATAGGAAGTTGATGCTTTGCACTTTGCCCTTCATCTCCAGTGCTTCCATGTGAAACTCCACTTTCTCTACCACCATCTACACTCGGAGGGGAATCTGGAATGGGATCTTCAGAAATGAGGCCCTCCAAAGTTGTTGCTTGTTTTGACACAGAATTCTGGTGTGAAGTGTGTTCAGGAACAGAGGGGTGATCAATGGTTGCAGCATGTGTAGTTCGAAGTAGAAAATTCATTGTCCCTATAGGAGAATCTTATAAAATTTGACAAGGAAACTATTAATAAAACCAAGTTATTATTTATAGTTAATAGTTATAACTGTTGATAGTTATAACCATTAACTATTAATAACTAGTTCTTAATAGTTATTATAACTATTAATAGTTATAAATAGTAGTAGTAACTATTAATAGTTATTAATAACTATTAACAAAACCAAGTTAAAAAAAAAACATATTTACCTTATAAATAGTTAATAAAAATTAAAAAATCATTTTTAAAACATTAATTAAAAATATTTCAATTCCACTTAAAATCAAACTTAATAAACACTAATAAAAATAAGAAATTTAAATACAATAAAAAATATCAATTAATAGTTTTAACAATATTATAATTTAAAATCTATTGCACATAATAAACATGGATTTGATATATCATATATTGCACATATATTGAACCCGTGTTCTAGTGTTGTATTATGTTTTGTTTATTCTTTTTATTTTATTAGATAACTTTATATTCATGCATTTTGAATTAATTGATATTATTATTAAAATTGACACTTATAAAAAATAGAGGGCCTATTAAAAATGATATAGAAATAAGAAAATTTTCTAAAACTCACCATGACTTGCGAGCATTTCTCTTAAACTCACCAAAACTTTTCAAAACATCTAGGGAACCCCATGTTAGTAAGCTGACATTAAATAGATTAAAAAATATTGGTAGATTACTGCTTTGCCCTTTGTTCTATTGTAAATGGAAATTTAATAAAAAATAGAAAAAATATATCTCAAATATTTCAATCCAAAATTTTTCTGCCCATTTTACATATTTAAGTAAAAATTGAGCTTCAAATAAAAAAAAAAAAAAAAAAAGAATGCTTTTGATTCAAATCAAATTCATCTGATGCTCCATATCTAACACAATTGCACAACTGTCACTTTATCCCTTCTAATTTCAAATGCAACAAGAACCAAGATCAAGAAAAGGTCTATGGTCAATAAAATGACATGTGGCTCTATAGGATCCAAAGTCCACTTCTATCAAATGTTAGTTAGAACAAAGGTGTATTGAATAAAATTAGGCTGACATAAAATATGTTTAATAAGACTAATATGCCATTCAATGGTAGTTTGGTTAGAAAATTTGTATTTATGATGACATGGACAACTTCTGTCAATAAACACCAACAGTGATCTAACAGATGGTGATTTTGGAAAGCAAAAAGTCACTGACATGAGGTTTCCTGAATGTTCTGAAAAGTCATAGTGAATTTAAGAGAAATGTTCAAAAGTTATGGTGAGTTTTTAGACAATTTTCCTAAAAATTAAGATTCATAAAAATTCATTAAATTTTAAAATTCATTTAGATTCCATTTCAAAAAAAAAACATGGGTTTGACTTGGACCAGCTCAACTCAAATGGGAATATATTAAGGCTCCTTGTAGTTGTTGTGACCTAATTTCAAATTACCCATATAGAATGAAACAAGGCTTGTATATGTGACATGTGCAATACTATGTAGTTACAAGGCAAGGGACTAAGGGTGCAACTTGGGCAAGCCCAACCCGAGCTTGAACTAACCCAGCCTACATTTTTTCATGGGTTAGGCTTCGATTTTTTGCCCATAGGTTGGGCCTAGGCCAAAAGCCTTAGGCTTTTCTATTTTTGGTGTTGCACTTGGTAATAGCCTCTAGGTAGCTTTACCCGGCTTAAACCTAACTTAACCTTATCCTAACCTAAGTCTAGCTCAACTATACATAAGCAACTTGCAATGACCTTAGCCTAACATAAACCTAATGTGCATGCATGATACGTACACTAAATTCCTATTTAAATCTTTAAATTAGTAACGATAAATAGACTCATGCAACTTTTTAGTGCATTGAGCCTAATAGGTCCACTTTAGCCTAATTAACCAATCTAAGCTAGATCTGAGTTTGGTTTCAACTCGAGGATGTAAATTTTTAGTTCAAGCTAGGGTTGGGTTGGAAAGATCATGCTTAACCAAATGCCCAATTAGGGTTTAGGTCGTAAGTCCAATATTTAGGTTTTGGAATAAAACCCCAAGGTTTTTTATTTTTTATGTTAGGTTTAAATCTAGCCACAAGGTAGCTCTAACCCTGGCATAAACCCAACATACATACATACATACATACATACATACATACATACATACATACATACATACATACATACATACGTATGTACGTTGGTACGTACGTACACATACAATACACACACACATATATATATATATATATTGAATCTAATTAGTGATAATAAATATATATATATACACGTACGTTGCAAACTTCCTATTTGAAGCCTTAAATTAGTGATAATAAATAGGTTCATTCAACTTTTTAGTGCATTGAATCTAATAGGCTCACTTGAACCCAATTGACCAATCCAAGTTCAACTCGGGTTGACTCAACTCAAGTATGTTAACTTTTCAATTCAGCCTAGACTTGGGTTGGAAAGATTAGGCTTGACCTCATGCTCAATTTGCACTCAGGCCTTAGGTCCAATTTAGGGTTTGGGCCTAGGTTGACCTTAAACCCAATCAGCCCACCCACCACCCCTACAAGGAACAAGACCCCTATGTGTTTATGGTGCAAGGTACCATGCCTTTCATTAAATGGGTGAAGCTAAACCATTTCCTATAAAAATCATTGAAATTTAATTTTTAAAACTCATTTAAATTCTATTTAAAAAAATAAAAAACTAAAAAATGATATTTAAAAATAATTTTATTATTTTAGGACCAAAAGCAAACATACAAATTTCTTGTGCATCACACAAGTCCCAACTAGTACATACTAATATGTATTAAAACTTTTAACCTTGCAAAACATTGAGCATAATGGATTGGCAAAACAAGATTCATGTAACCAACCCCAGGATGATGATGATGATGACACTTGTGTCTATTTATAATTTAATCCCTCTTTTTAATATCCCTACTTTTTAATTTAATCCCTCTCTGCTCTTTATTATGAGGGCAAAATGTGTAAATTGAACTACTACTTTTATTAAATGCATTCTATTTCCTCTCGTTAACTACTATATTCAAGGTGTTAAGTCATATTTTCTCCCATTAAAGTCTATATTCAAGGTGTTAACTCCTATTTATTAAATTCATTCTATTCCCTCTCATTAAGTCTTATATTCAACATTCACTCAAAAAAAGTCCTATATTTAACTCCCATTCTCTCATTAGATCCTTTATCTGAGGTATTTTTCTTTTTCTCATGAATAAATTCTATTAGCCAAATCTATATCAAATGATTTTCATAACACAAAACCTATCTGTTTAAAACCAACATGAAAATGAAACCTTCCCTTCATTTGGGTAATGGGTAAAGTAGTTAAACCATCTCAATCAAACAAGTCAATCAATGGTCTCATAGTTAAATAATAAATTTTTTAAAAAATAAATAAAATATAAAGAATACAAGAAACATGGGAACTTTTGTAAAATTCTTTAATATTATGTGTTAATTATAATATTAAAAAAGTCTGACAAATAAAAAGTATTTTATCAATGATGGAAATGAAATACAAAATTTAAAATCTATCCATTAATGAAACCATTTTCCTGTTTATATCAAATGGGCCATCCCATGATGTAATAATTTAATAATAAAAATTTCAAAAAAGATAGATATACAAAAAATATTAAAAAACATATATATTTTGTAGAAAATTTCGGGTACATTCCTAATACTATATGTATCCATTATATTAAACAAAAATAAGTTTGATAAATAAAAATTATTTTTATTAATAATAGAAATAGAATAAAAAATGAAACTAACTAAAAAAAGAAAATATTTTTCAATTAAGTGGTGGTTGAACGTCCATATGGGTGCAAATTGGGTAGGCACAACTAGAGCCAAATGAACCAAAACAATAACTTTAGATGGGCTAGGTTTGGATTTTCAATCCTTGGGATGAGCCTAGGTCCAAAAGATTGGGCTTTTTTATTTTCTTTGAGTTGGGCCCAAGCTTTACCCAACTACATACCTACATACATAAACACATATTTGCAAACATATATACATATATTCATACAAAATTGCTTACATGCATACAAATGTATCAAGTTTCAGTGTGGCCCAGGACTATATTGGATAAATTCGGTTTAACCTCAAGCTTGGCCCAAGCTCGAGCATTAGGACCAATTCATAGGGTTGGACCTGGGTTGAGCTTAAACCTAGCCCAACCCACCCAATTCGCATCCTTAGTGATGATATTTGGGTAAAATGGGTCAACCAATGATGTCATAAAATTATAATAAAAAAACTCAAATATATATAGATAGAAATAAAAATTATATAAATTACAAATTTTTGCCAAAAAAAATGTAGACATCTCTAATATTATATATTTCTCATATTAAATAAAAATAAATATAGTAAATGTAAACTATTTTTATTGCCAAAGGAAATAAAATACAAAATTAAATTTAAATCCACTAGAACTCTAATTATTTTTATTTTCTAATGGATTCTAACAAGAATATTGAAATTGTTATTGTTATCTGAATTTTTCATGTGCAAATGCACATATACATTTACCAGTACATTAAAAGTTTACAACAAATCTTATTTGAGGACAAATTCTTACTTTAGACTAAACAATGGGCAATTGGATGGACAAAACCAAGTAATGATCATTGATTGGTAATAATAAAATTTCATTCAGCCTATTTATGGAGTAACAAAGATTACAAAACTAGACTAATGATGAAGTGGTAAATGGGGAGTCCGAACCTTGTCCCAATAAGCCATTAAGGGCCATACATCGGGAACATCTCACCATGAAGGACAAGGAAGATATTCCTAATGCATGTCTACAATCGCTTGTTGGAATGTTTATCGGGAGTAGATCCGAGCTCTAACTTGAGATCCGCTGTGAACCCTATATTTTGCAATAGATACTGATGCACATTTGATAGAAAATAGGACCTTATTATATTTTTCTTTTATTTTTTAGGTGTGTTTCGA